CCGTACCCCTTCTCCCTGCCTCCAGTCCCCTCCCAGCACCAAGAGCTTCCAGGAGGCACAGAGCCAGCTGAACCAGGCGGCTGCAGGGCTCAACCAGTCTGCCAACGAGCTGGTGCAAGCATCGCGTGGCACCCCTCAAGACCTAGCCAAGTCCTCCGGCAAATTTGGGCAGGACTTCAATGAGTTCCTGCAGGCGGGAGTGGAGATGGCCAGCCAGTCCCCGGGGAGATCAAATGCCTGGGGATCCTGGGTATGGTGAGAAGTGTGGGGTGCCTGAGAAGGCAGCTGACCACAGGCAGGGTGGCCAGGCAGCGGTGGTTAGGGTGTCTGTGGCCAGTGCAGCTGGTGAGTTGGGGTCTGGGACTGTGGAAAAACCGCAGCAACAGGAAGAAAATGGTTTGGGTTGGTTCAGCTGCCATATCCTTGCTGCTGGCAGACAAGTTAGATGAAGGGAACCGGCTTAGCTTGAAAACCACCAGAGAAGACCCAGGGTGGGTGTGGAGCTTGGAAACCTGCTACAGGTAACTCTTCTTGGCTCCTTGCAGAATAAGGAAGACCAGGCACAGGTGGTGTCAAACTTGAAGAGCATCTCCATGTCCTCCAGCAAGTTGCTGCTGGCTGCAAAGGCGCTGTCTGCTGACCCGGCAGCCCCCAACCTCAAGAATCCGGTGGAAGCCACAGCACAAAAAAAACAGCAGCAGCACGGTAGGAGGAACTGCTCCCTGTGAGCTGTTTGCTGTAGCAGTAGGGCCAGGTGGCAGAGCTGGCATTGATCCATGGGTCCTTCTCCCTTGTTCCTGGCAGGGCCGTGACTGACAGCATTAACCAGCTGATCACCATGTGCACCCAGCAGGCGCCGGGCCAGAAGGAGTGTGACAACGCCCTGCGAGAGCTGGAGGTGAGAAGCCACATCTTGCCGAGGCAGGAGAAGGGCTGAGATGGCTGAGTGCTGAGCTGGTGGGGAGAGAGGAGCTGCACCCTGCTGCAAGGAGCAGAAGGGGGCAAAGAGGAGGTGCAAGTGGAGGGTGTGGACCCTTCCCCTGGATGTGATACCTATGTCCCTGCAGACAGTGAAGGAACTGTTGGAAAACCCCACCCAGACAGTCAATGACATGTCATACTTCAACTGCCTCGACAGTGTCATGGAGAACTCCAAGGTGAGCCCTGAACTGGGAGTGTAGGTTTGGGGAAGGGTGGCGAGGGTTTGGGAAGGATGTGGGAGCAAAGGGAAAGGTGGTTCCTGCCCCGTTGATAAAGCATGGTGATCTCTGAGCCTGGGTGCACTGCGCGAGGGGGAGGTGGTCTCCATAACCAGTGCATGGTGTGTCCTGTAGGTGCTGGGCGAGTCCATGGCTGGCATCTCCCAGAACGCCAAGAACAGCAAACTGCCTGAGTTCGGTGACTCCATCAGTGCCGCCTCCAAAGCTCTCTGTGGGCTGACGGAGGCAGCTGCCCAGGTGAGACATGTTCGATCCCAGCCCTGAGCATTACCCCTGGTGCATAGTTGCTGTATGTACCCCTCCATTGCCCCTCCAAGCCTTGGACCTGTGGGATGGTGCTGCCAGCCTCCTCTGCAGCCCCTGCCCGCTCTGAGCGTCCCTGCCATGTGCAAGCTCTTTCTCACGGCCTCTCTTGTGCTCCTAGGCTGCCTACCTCGTGGGTGTTTCAGACCCCAACAGTCAGGCTGGACAGCAGGGCTTGGTAGACCCCACTCAGTTTGCCAGAGCTAACCAAGCCATCCAGATGGCCTGCCAGAACCTGGTAGACCCTGCCTGTACCCAGTCCCAGGTGAGTATGAGGTGGGACACAGTTACAGGCATTTTCTTGCACAAAGGGGAGTGTGAGGGCTAGTTGGAAGAGCTGCATCCCAAGACTCTGCCAAGATTATGGTTAGTATCTCATCAGGCCCTATCGGCTCTGCTGGGAGCAAGCTGGCAGCTTTGATGCAACAGTGACTGTCCAGATGGGGGGCTGTATGCACATGCAGGACCTTGGTGATCCTTCTTGTGTCTCAAGAGGGACCTCTGTGGTCACTGGGTGCCCCACATGGGTCTGGCAGGAAGGGAGACCTGCAGGGATGGGGAGTCATGGTGGATCCTGCCTTACCCTGCTCTTCCCTACAGGTGCTGTCAGCAGCCACCATTGTAGCGAAGCACACCTCGGCCCTGTGCAACACATGCCGCCTGGCCTCCTCCCGCACTGCCAACCCTGTGGCCAAGCGTCAGTTCGTCCAGTCAGCCAAAGAGGTGGCCAACAGCACAGCTAACCTGGTGAAGACCATCAAGGTGCAGTCTCCCTGCCAGGCCATTGTGGTGAGGGTGGGATTTGCAGCATGGTGGGGATTGGATAACTGCTCTGGTCTCTCCACACCAGGCCCTGGATGGCGAGTTCAATGAGGAGAACCGGGAGCGGTGCCGCGCTGCCACTGCCCCCCTCATAGAGGCCGTGGATAACCTGACAGCCTTCGCCTCCAACCCAGAGTTTGCCACTGTTCCTGCCCAGATCAGCCCAGAGGTGGGATGCTGCAGGGGCAGGGAGGACGTGG